CAACTCACATCAACTCACTCGGCTCCCTGATCTCATGTAGCAGTGAACAGTGAGATCTTAATTCCCTGCCCAGGAATGAACCTGGGTAGCCTAATGAGATTCCCTGGTGACTCAGTTGGTAAAGAATCTACCTGCAATTCAGGACACCCTTGTTCAATCCCTGGGTCAGGTAGATTCCCTGGAGAAGGGAATGGGAATCTATTCCAGTACTCTTGCCTAGAGAATTCCATGGACAGAGGAGCCTGGCAGGCTACAGTCCATGGGGTTGCAAAGAGTCGGACACAACTCAATGATTAACACTTTCTTTCACTTTCAGCCTGGATGAGAACCAGGGATCCTAGCCAGCAGACCATTAAGGGCCAGAGGCTTGAAGATTTTTTTCCCCCTGGATCTTTGACCCCAGTGAAAAATGCATTTATCATGGAGGCAGAAACTGTAAATGCAGGTACAGGTTTATGATAAAAGAAGTAGCTTAACAACAAGTGGGAGAGCACACAAAGAAACTGTTTGGTTAAGAAAGAAGCAAGACAGAGATTCGCACCCAGAGAGAAAGTGTGGGCATCCCCCTTAGTGAGGAGGAAAGAGGTGGTTTAGTCGTTTCTATAGGTCAGTTCTTCTGGGTCTTTGTTTATCTTTAGCCAATTACCTGGTTTCTTTTTCCACACCTGACTTACTCTGGGACCCTCCCTTGGGTGTGCACGCACCTCTCAGTCAAGATGGATATCAAAGAGAAGGCTTCTGGGAGGAACAAGGCTCATTATGGCCTGGCGTTATCCCCTGACTTTTGACCCACAAGGAGCCTTTCTGCATGTGTAGTGTCTCCCTAGTGCCAAAAAGCATGGGGGGGTGGGGTGGGGTGGGGAGTGGAGATCCCTTAATCCTTTACCCAAACAAGGTTTTCCCCCTGTTCATCCTCACGTGACTATTACCTTAAGGTGTTTACAAGAGACAAAGACTGGTTATTTACCCTATTTCTGTTGTTACTTCCATTTCAGAGGGCAAACCATCAGGCTGACTGTAAATGTCTTAATTGGAGCCTGCCTAACTCTTGTCTCAGAAAGTGAAAACAGGAGGCTAGTTGTAAATGTCTAACTGCAACCCATCTATCTCCTACGTCATCCTCACCTTCAGGCTCTCCTCCACTCTATAGTCCGTGGACATATATGAATAAATAGATCGTAGCCCTTTCTATGATAATCTAATAGCATCATTCACCTCTCTAAAGAGGCCATCATGGCTCCCCAGCCCCCTTAGAATAAACCTGAGCTCCTTGGAATTTATGTAAAACTCTCTGGGCTCTGATTTTGGCCACGTTTTATCTCTGTTGCCACCCCAACCCCAACCCTACCAACTACCCGGCCTTGGATCCTGTCACTCCTGCCATTCTGATCTTCCTGTAGCTCCCGAATGCATTAATTGGTTCTCCTTTCCCTTCTTGGCAGACATCTAGTCTTTTGTCAAAACTCTGTCCCAATATCACAGTCCCCTTGAATTCTTTCCTCACTCCCACCCGCATCCTTGGTCCCCTCTGTAATTATCCACTGGAACCAGTACAAACTCCCTGCATGGTGCTGGCAATACTTGAATGCACTTCACCACGGCAGCTAACCCTTGCTAATGTCTACAGGGTGCCAGCATTGAACTCAGGGCTTTACATCATGACTTAACTGAGGCTCAAAACCATCCAAGAGGTAGGTGCTGTTATTACCATATCTGTTTTGAGGTGGGGCAACTAGGATCAGAAAAGGTGATCAACCGGACCTGGTGCACTGGGAAGACCCAGAGGGATCGGGTGGAGAGGGAGGTGGGAGGGGGGATCGGGATGGGGAATACATGTAACTCCATGGCTAATTCATGTCAATGTATGACAAAAACCACTACAATATTGTAAAGTAATTAGCCTCCAACTAATAAAAATAAATGAAAAAAAAAATAAAAATTAAAAAAAAGAACAAAAGAAAAAAAGAAAAGGTGATCAACTTGCTAAAGGTCACACTGCTAGTGAATTCATAGTATACATTTGAACCCAGGGCTGTCTAATTACAAAGTCCATGCTTTTAACCACTGTTCTCTGTATTAGAGGATTCCAGATGGTGATCTTTTTCAAGTGAAGGATAAAACTTCTCTGTTCTTGAATCCCCAGCACAGTGTCTAGCACCTAAGAAAATGTAACAAAAATTAGCTGAAGGACGTCCCTGGTGGTCCAGTTGTTGAGATTCTGTACTTTCACCTCCAGGAGGCATCAGTTTGGGGAACTAAGACCTTACATGCAAGATATGTGGCATGGCCACAAAAAAAAGAAAAATTAGTTGGATGAGTTGGTGATTATTAGGCCTGTTTTACAGATGAGGAAACTGAAGCTCAGAATGACTAAACAATTCTGTCCAAGGCCACCCCACTGGCAAGTCGCTGATCTGGAACTGGGCCCAGGATTGCTTGGGTCTAGGTGATGTTCATTTCACCAACCTATACTGCACACGAGGGGTCTCGCCCCCATTCAGGAAAACTCTTAATTGGAATTTAAAAACAACAACATCAGCAATTACAATAATAACCATCATCACAATCACTGAGAAATGTGTTCCTATGCCCACAGTTATCTTTCTGCTCTGCTTTTGCCTCTGCTGAGATTGACAGCCTCAGCTGGACAGAACCAAAGTGTCAGTTTTGCCACTGGCATAAAATGAGGGCGCCATGTTTGTTCTTTTTTTAAAAATTGTTATTGGAATATAGCTGATTTACAATGTTGTGTTAGTTTCTGTTATACAGCAAAGTGTATCATATATATGTATATATATATATATACATATGCATATGTATCATATACACTGCTTTTTAGATTCTTTTCCTATATAGGTCATTATAGAATATTGAGTGGAGTTCCCCGTGCTATACAGTAGGTCCTTATTTGTTAGTTATTCTGTATGTAGTAGTGCATATATGTCAATCCCAATCTCCCACTTTATCCAACCTACTCCCCAACCAGGGAACCATGTTGAAAGGAGAAACACTGGGCCAGTTATTGCCTTAGTGACTGGCCTTGATTCTCCTAAGGCACTATGGAGAGTGGCAATTTAAGGGGACACTGCCATTACTTTGAATCCATCAAAAGCACTTTATGGAGACAAAACTTGACATCGGTGGGTAAGGAGTGACAGCACATGGGTCTTTTGTGGCCAGGGAGCTACTTGGACAGTAAGGAGAGGGGACAATTCGGAGAGAAATAACTAGCAATCTCTAATGATGTATCATTTCCAAAATCTGTAAAAACACAATAACAATAAAGAAACACAGAAAAGAAGAGAAAGAAAATGGCCCTTGATGTCCATCCAGTTAGACAGACTTTGCTGGGATGACCTTCTGGGTAGGTGGTAATAACTCAGGGGCAAGGAATCCTGGGTTGCTTTCTCTCTTTCTTTTTAAGTAAATAAATACACCCACCCAACTACTCACTAATTCCTAAACTTCCTTTTCCCTGAAACATAGTCTATCTTTTTACTGTTAGTTTATTTTTTAAACTAGTGTTGCTTTAAAAAAAAGTAATATGTGTTACTTGTAAAAAAAAAAATTCAAATAACACAGAGGAATTCAAGGAAAAATAAGACTCCTTCCTAGCCCAGATCCCTATTTATTAATCCTGACATTCTTCCTTAAAGAGACTTTGGAGGGAGCCTGGCCCTGGTGACACGTGGATTTCAGACTTTTAGCCTCTAGAACTGCAAAAGAATAAATTTCTATGGGCTTAAGAATAGAAAGTTGTCTTAAGACTCAGGTCCTAAGAACCTGAGTTGTGGTAACTTGTTATAGAACCCTCAGAAACCAGTTCAATAATTGAATATATTAACATTGATAAAGGACTTAGCACAGTGCATGGCCATAACAAGTATTACCTGTGTTTGCTAAGCTATTTTTAATTTTATTTTAAAAAATTTAATTTAAAAAATTAAAATTTTTTCATTTTTTCCTGACCAAACTACATGGCAGGTGGGATCTAAGTTCCTCAACCAAGGAACTCAGGATCAAACCTGTACTCCCTGTATAGAAAGGGTGGAGTCTTAACCACTGGCCTGCCAAGGGAAGTCCTATTATTATCATTTTAAATTGATGTATAGTTGATTTACAATGTTGTATAAATGAGTTATTGTTTAAAAACCTCATGGCAATTCCCTAAATCAGGTGTTATTTTTATTCCCATCTAACAGGAGAAAACTGAGGTTTTAGCTCAAGCATGTAAATGAATAAAGTCAACTCCCAGTTCAGATTCTCCTTTTCCCCATTTATTTGGGCTATATAATTTTTTAATAATTTTTTTGACATGTACACATTGCTTCATTTATTTTTGGCTGCGCTGGATGCACACCTGGCTTTCTCTAGTTGTGGGGGCGGGGTGTGGTGGGGGGGTCTACTCTCCAGTTGCCATGCACAGGCTCTAGGGTCCCCGGGCTTCAGTAGCTGCAGCACAGAGACTCAGTAGCTTTGGCCCACAGGATTTGTTGCTCAGGGACGCCAGCGATTGCACCTGAGTCGCTTGCATTGGCAGACGGATTCTTATCCACTGTGGCACCAGGGACGTCCTGGGCTATATAATTTTAAAATGTCTCATTCAAGTAAGTCTCCTTAAACATTTCCTGACACCCTTTATATGTGGGTGGGGAAGTGACAGAAAGTCTGTGTTTTGTTCAGAATGGGCCAGGCTTATGCTGCTGACCCAGTATCTCAGTCTGGGTCTCAGGCCATGTCTGGCCACTCTCCAGAGCAGCTATCCTGCAGTGATGCTCTGATCCAGGCTGCCCCACCTAGGCGTGCCACCATCTCAACCCACGCTTTCCAATGCGGGGCTTTGGGGGTGGGTAGGGGTGCAGGGTAGGGTCGGAGGAGGGCAAGATGCGGCTATAATTTCTACTCACAGCCCATTGGCCTGAGCTGGTCACATGGGCAGCCGCTTAAACTGCAAACGCTGCTGGGAATTGTAGTCTTTCCACAGTTCCGTTTCTAGGAAGTGGAAAAGGAGCTAAGATTCGGAGTATGTTTGGCTTTGTCTCGGCCACAGCCTTCAGGTGTTCAAGCTTTATTTTCTGAGGTAATCTTGCTTTTATAAGTCACCATTGTGAACTTGCTTTTCACACTTGGCTTTTGTTTTTCTTCTTTAAACGTGTTCCCTCTTCTTTTCTGCCTATAACCCTGCTTCTGGTTTGGAAAGTCACAAGCACTCTTTTCTCTTGGGTTTCCCGGGATTGAGACAGGAGGGCTGAGAAGTCCAGGGGACGAAAGGGTCTGCCTCCCGATGCAGTCAAAGGAATTGCTTTTTTGAAATGACAGCTACACCACGGTCTTGCAGAGATGAATGCTGTGAACTGTCGTAAGGTGTGGATAATTAAGGGTCTTGATTATGCGTGGACACCTATTGTCTCAGAGAGATAAATTAAGGAAACCTTGTGGATGCAAGTAGCAGATTACCCTTTTTATGCCTCTAAGGAAGTGCAGTCACATCGGTGTTTCAGGGAATGTGGCAGTGGAAGCTTTTTCCCAGGGGCTGGTCCTTCATGGGTGCTGCGGTGTCGGTGGACAGCCCTGGATCCTTTCCATGGAGCTTGGAACGTGTTGGTCAAGCATTTATTAGCCCTTGCTGTGTGCACAATGAAATAGATTGAAAGAGAAAACTACATTTACCGGAGCACGTTTTACGGGTTGTGAATAAACACCCTGAGCAGTCTTGTTCCCATTGAGGACCATAGACTGAAGGAGAAGACCAGGTTTCTTGCTTGCCAGACCCATATTCCACATTCTCAACCCTGACGGCCTTGTGGCGGGAGGTTTGGAAAAGACTTGTCTCCATGACATGCAAGAGAAGGTGCTTGATACTATTGTTTATTAAGAAGAACAATTTCTAAAAAAAAAAAAAAAAAAATTAAAAAAAAAAAAGAAGAACAATTTCTGATCAGGAAAACCAGTGAAATTTGAGGGCAGGAATTCTGTTATTGAATTGAACATTTGTAAACTGAGCCCATAGTAGCTATTGAGTGTGTTTTCTGAGTGCAGGTATTTTCTTTTTTTTCTTCTTCAGAATTACTTACTGAACATCTGCTATGTTCCAGGCACTGGTCTAGGTTTTGGGAAAGCTGAATGTGATGAAGAACTGCACCATCACATCCCCTTGGTCCTCCTCTGATTTCAGCTGTATGTGTGGTGGACAGTCTCTCACAAGTCTAGGCTTGCCTCAGACTGCCAGTCTTTCCAATGGCTCCAACCGTGGGGTTTACTGTTTTGTTTTTTCCCCAATGCTGTGGGAGCTTCTTTGTCCCCATGAACAAAAGCAGCCAGAAGTGTTAACACCCCCGGGAGCAGCCCTCAGCAGTGAGGTGGGAGCTGGTGGATAAAGTCTGTAGCTTCCTGTCTCTCAGGACGTGGTTCTGCGAGGCCTTCTTGTAATTTTTCAGGAAGTCCCTGTGAAGTAGAGTCTTGGCTACCAAGCCACCTTGATAATGAATGCTTATATTGACTTTTTTTTCTTTATCAGTATCCCCAGCCCCTTGCTTTTGCTTCCTGGTATCATGTTCTAGAATAAACAATAGGCTTGCCACCCTGGTCTCAGCTCTGCTTTCAGGGGAACCAAGCCCTGCCTTAGCCTACATTCTAGGGCAGTGCTGAAAAGAAATACAGTGTGAGCCACATGCATATCAAAACACTTCTAGTGGCCACATTAATAAAGGTAAAGAGAACCAGGTGAAGTTAATTCTAATAGTCAATTATATTTAATCTGATATACTAGCAATAAATTTCAATATGTAACAATATAAAAATTATATTTATTAATGAGATACTGTGCAGTCTTTTTTTCTGTAGTAAATCTTTAAAATTCCATGTGTAATTTACACTTATGGTGCATCTCAATTTGAATGCTAAAGTTTCATTGGAAATACATGATCTGTATTTTGGTTTCATAAAATTTATAGTTGAAAAGCATATTCCCTTATGCAAGTTTTTCTAAATACACAAAGTTTTCCAATAACTAAATCAAATTTCCATTTCTAAATTGAATTAATTGAAATAAAATATTCAGATCCTCAGTAGTACTAACCTCATTTTAAATGCTAAGTGTCCACATGTGGCTACTATATAGACAGGCAATAAACAAAATAAATGAGTAACACATGATATAATGATATGTGCTAGGGAGAAAAATAAATTCTGGAAAGGGTGCTTACTAGTATTGGAGTGATGGTTACCATTTTTAGTCAGGGTTGTCAGACTTAGCAAATAAAAATACAGGACATCTGATTAGATTAGCATTTCAGATAACATAATTTTATTTTATTATTTTTAATTGAAGTATAGTTGATTTAAACTATTATATTGTTTTCAGGTATACAACATATTGATTCAGTATTTTTATAAATTATAATTCATTCATTTATTTATTTTTTCATTTATTTTTATTAGTTGGAGGCTAATTACTTTACAGTATTGTAGTGGTTTTTGCCATACATTGACATGAATCAGCCATGGGTTTTCATATAAAGTTAAGTATTATAAAGTAATGGCTATATTCCCCATGCTTTACAATACGTCCTTGTAGCTTATTTATTTTATACATGGTAGTTCATACCTTTTTAATTCCCTACTCCTGTATTGCTTCTGCCCCTCTTGTGTCCTCACTGGTAGCCACTAGTTTGTTCTCTGTATCTGAGTCTGTTTCTGTTTTGTTATACTCACTAGTTTTATTTCTTTAGATTCCACGTGTAAGTGATAAATATAATATTTGTTCTTCTCTATTTCTCTATCTGACTTACTTCGCTAAGTGTAAATACCCTCCAGACTCATCCATGTTGTTATAAATGGCAAAGTAGCATTCTTTTTTATGGCTGAGTAATATTCCATTATATGTATTTGTAGATATATTTATAAACACACACACACACAGACACACACACACACACATATATTTATATACACCACATCTTTTTTTTTTTCCAAACAAGTTTTACTTAATTTTTTGGCCATACTCTGCAGTAGGTGGGATCTTAGCTCCCCCACCAGGGATTAAACCCATGACCTTTGCCTTGGAAGGCAGAATCTTAACCACTGAACCACCAGGGAAGTCCCTAACACATCTTCTTTATCTGTTCATCTAGCAACAGAACATTTTAAAGTATAAGTCTTCCCTATGCAAAAATGTCCCAAATGTTGCAGGGGGTATTCTTTTACTAAGAAGTTATTCCTTGTTTATCTGAGATGCACATTTAACTGGGTGTGTCTAAATAGGTGGCCAGCAGAGACTTCACTGAGAAGGTCTCTCTGAATGTAGACATGGGGGAGGTGAGGGTGTGAGTCACATGGTTATTTGGGAGAGTAGGTGGAAGGGACAAATGCAAGGGTCTTCAGTGCGAACATTTTTGGTTGAGCAGAGGACTGACTTGATGTCACTTGTATTTGAACAGGATCTCAGAGCTGCCACGTTGAGGATGGATTGAAGGGGCCAACAGCAGAAGCTGTTGCAGTAATCCAGGCTAGAAGTGATGGTGGCTTGGACCAGAAGGGGCTGGATTCTAGATGTATTTTGAAGGCAGAGTCGGCTGCATTTACTGTTTGGATAGGAGTGAGAGAGGTAAGTTCAGAACTTCAAGATATTTATCCTCTGCCTGGAAGGATAGAGTTTTTATGCAGAGATAGGGAGCATGGTTGAACATTAGGGGCGGGGCAGAGCTCAACAGTCTGTTTTGGACGCAGTAAGTTTGGAGATGCCTGTTAGAAACTGAAGTAGAGATACTGAGTTGGCCAGCAGGAGTATACACGAGATGTCTGGCTAGAGTTAGGTTGGGAGACAGAATTCAAAGCCACGAGCCTCGGTGAGGTCTCCAGGGAGTGAGTCTGAGTCAGAAAGAGGAAAGATCCATGGGCTGCACCCTGGGTCCCTTCAAAAGTATTCTAGTCTTCTCAGTAAACCCAAGAGTTGGGGCCTGTGAGCATTTCCACTTTCATGGATGGAGGATTTGAGGCTTGGAGAAGGGAAGAAACGTGCCGAAGCCTGGGGCCGAGCTGGATGAACTTTCCTGTTGGTCTCTGTTTCCTTCTTTCACCATCCCTTCTCTGCATACGTGAGAGAGAATGAGATTTTTATTTTTAAACAACATTCATTTCTTTGGCTTCACCGGGTCTTTGTTGCGGCATGTGAACTCATAGTTGTGGCATGTGGGATCCCATTCCCTGACCAGGGATTGAACCCAGGCCCCCTGCATTGGGAGCACGAAATCTTCGCCACTGGACCACCAGAGAATCCCTTTAAATTATTTTTAGATTGTTTAAATTATTTAAATGGATAGAATGTGAAAGCCTTCATTTTAATAATTTTATTTTAAAAAATTTTAATTGGAGAATAATTGCTTTACAGTATTATGTTGGTTTCTGCTGTACAACTATACAAATCAGCCCTAAGGCTCCCTCTTGAGCCTCCCTCCCCCCACCTCCCCCCATACTAATTTGAAAGTATCTAATTTAGGGACATTTGGTCCATTCACATTGTTGTGCAACCATGTTCACTCTATAGTCCCAGAACATTTCCATCACCCTAAAAGGAAGCCCTGAATCCCCAGTCACTCCCACTCTCCCCTGCCCTCAGACCCTGGCAACCACTCACCTGCTTCCTGTCTCTACGGACTTGCCTGTTCAAGGTCTTTCCTATGAATGAAATCACTTGCTGTGTGTTCTTTGGTGTGCGCCATGTGTGTATCAGTACTTCTTTCCTGTTGACGGCCAAACAGTGTTCCATTGCGTGGGTATGCCATTTTGCTTCTCCATCACGTCGTGGTGGACATTTGGGTGGTTGCCACAGCCAGAATGACTTATCAGAGAATGTTATTGTCTTCTCAGCTCCGCACAGCTCCTGATCATACTTGTGACCAAATACAAGTTTGGCCTCTGCTTGCCTCCCCGCCCCCCAGCCCCCCCTGATCCCTGCTGCCCCCATCAGGGCAGCAATGGCCTCTGGGAAGCTGCTTCTGCACCTTTGTGCTTGCTTGGTTTACACTCTTCCCCAGACATTCCCCTGCTCCAATTTCTACTAAAATGTATGTCCCCACCTACCATGTATTAGAAAACTCTATCTCTGGTTCTTTATTTTGCTTTGTCTCTTCAGAGCATCTATCACAACATGGTATTATGTTATCATCGGTTTTAGGTATCATTGGGGATTCGATCCAGGACAAGTTGCAGACACTGAAATCCACAAGATTCTGAAGTCCCATCGTTGGCCCTCCAAATCGGTAGATTTGGCATCAGCAGATACAGAAGGCCAACTTTATTTATTGAAAAAAAAATCCGTGTATAAGTGACCCTGTGCAGTTCAAAGCCATGTTGTTTGAGGGTCAACTGGATATATAAGTACAAATGACTGTATATTGTAGATATGGTAATTATTGTTTCTTCCTCCGTTGAATATCTTTTTCACTAGAATGGAAGCTTTTGTTCCACGTTCTGCACCCCTGTGCCCTGAGGACTTAGAATAGGTATTTCTGGCATGAACACTGCCAAGGTTTGAGGTTTGCTCATTTGCTGACCCCATTTTTCATGAGAGGTCCTGGGATGGAAAACGTGCCTGAGGCCTAGACATTTCGATTCCTTGTGGAGGCCTGGCCCTGAAAAGGAGGAATAGGAGAAAGAGCTTCTTCCCATCCCATGGAAGGAATTTGTAAACTAGCTACACACAAGCAACTTGCAAGTAGAGAAAAATTCAAAGCTGGAGAAGGACTGACTCGGGTGGGGAGGGGTGAGGCAACAGAGGTTCCCATCCAGGCCGCAGCGCTCCTGGTCCAGGAAGCTAACGAGCTGGGCTGAGGCTCTATTTCGGTCACTTGCTAGCTGTGTGGCCTAGAAGAAGACATTAACCTTCTCTGAGCTGCCTGTTGCTGTAAGTCCCAAAGAGACAATGGGTGTGCAAATAATTTGATAATAATAAGCAGATCAATGCTAATGATTTTCATTGTTTTTTTATCTTAGTTTCTTCTTGATGCTGAATGGCAGAGTTTGGGTTCTTTGGGTGCAAGCAACAGAAACAGAACTCTGGCTTCCTTAATTTAAAAAGCGTTTTATGGCAAGGATACTGAGGAGTTCTCAGAAGTGGCAAAAACTGCAGAACCAGTCTCTTAAAGGATACAGACTATCTCAGCTCCAGGGATTTGGGTAACAGTTGGGACCATGAAACGGGGCTTCCCTGGTGGCTCAGACTGTAAAGAATCTGCCTGCAATGCAGGAGACAGGGGTTTGATCCCTGGGTTGGGAAGAACCCCTGGAGAAGGGAATGGCAAACCGCAAAAGGCTTGTTGCAGGAATCCACTCCGCCTCTATTCAAGGAAAAGAGCTTCTGACTGGCTTGGCTTGGGCTCAGTGCCCACCTCCTGGGCTGGGTGAGGAAGATCTCCTTGATTGACAGGTCCACAAGGTCCACGAAGAGGCAGGGACATTTCCTCTAATGGAAACATTTTACCAGGAAAAGGAGCCATAGGTTCTGGGTAGGGAAAACAAGAGACACTGATTAAAATAACCAGAACATTTCCTGTGTACTTGGTCTAGTGCAAGGCTGCGTGGGGAGCTGAACCAAAACAAGCCTTGATGCTGAGAGTTTTTGGTTTTTATTGCAGGTGGAGGGAGCCAGCCTGGGGGTTTCTAGACTTGGATATTCTTTAATTCTACAGTGTTTGGGGTCTGCCTGTTTGCTTAAAGCTCCCTCTTTGCAATTCACACAATTAATTAAGTGAGTCTGGCCTTGTATGGTTTAGGGTGAGAACAAGCTGTCAGTGACCCCGCTGCCCTGCATACCCAGTTCCTTCAGAGAGTGAGGACTCTCTGTGGAGCTGGCTGGCTGCTGCCAGCTCTCTTGTTCTTTCCCGGCTCAGGAGCGGAGCGGCCCAGTGTCAGAAGCTGGTTCTGAGTCATCGTCTGTGATCTCACCTTGGGACAATAGCGAATAGTTGGTGTCTTTTCTTGTTTTGGGGCACATCCTGAGATGAAAGCGAAGGGAAGGGACGTCGGTGCATTCCCATTTCCTTTGGGCTTTACAGATCCTTTGCCCAGATTATCACTTTAAAAAGTAACTTTTATGGTTAGGAAATGAATTCAGTCTCATTATGGAGAACTTAAAAAAAAAAAACAACAACCCAAAGAAGAAAAATCAAGTATTATCCTTTGTCCCATCACAACCCTACCAAGAAGTGTTATCATTTTGGGGCCTATCTTTTATCATTCTGTTTCAGTGCACATGTATGCTGAGGCATATATAACAAATGACCCTTTTTCTAATTAATTGCCATATGGCAGTTTTTCTAATTTATATATAGCAATGTTTATTATTATTATTGCTATTATTAATAACCTCTGATGTCTACAGAGTCAGTTGCCATCGGACCTCATTGCTTTCTCAGTTTGGCTGAACAGAGGAAGAAAGGGTGCTGGTAATGTGCGTCATCAGGATGGGAAGTGAAAACTGAGGCCCAGCAGCTGATGGCTAAGAGCCTGACCTCTGCAGTAACCATTGCTAACATTTATGAAGTGTTTCCTCTGTGCTGGATACTATTTTAAGCACTTTTAAAAATACTAAGTCATCTACTCACAGTGAGGGAGGAAGGATGATGAAGAGGAAAAACCACCTCTATGTTTCTCCATTACTGTCACACTCACAACACTTTTGACACCAGATGTGTGGGTTTTCCACTCCCAGCAGTTCTCTGACACCAGCTGAGTGTCCCCTAGTTCAGGGCAGTTCTAACCGGAGTTAGTGCAGACTCTCTGTGGGTCGACGTGCTGTGTGAGTGGTTTTGATGAGCGTGCCTTAAAGTTGCAGTTTTTAAAGAGGAATTTGAATTTAAATGTGGATGTGGACACATGTCTTGGGTCCCTTTACAGGCAAGCTTCTTGGCAGTCTTTCTCTTCCTCATCCCCCACTTCCTCCAAAGCCCACCACTGTTGTGTTTCTCGGTCCCACTGCTGCTCTTGAAGCCTTACCAGCGACTTCCTTTTGATTCGACCTAGGGCCCCTTTTCTGGTCCTCGTTTCTCAGCTTAGCAGAATTCACTACTCTTGACTGCTCCCTTATTAAAATCAAAGCAAAATTAATTGTGGCAAAATACACATAACAAAATATACCGTATTAACCATTTACAAGTGTATAATTCAGCAGTGTCACATATATTTTCACTGTTAGATAACGAGTCTCCAGAGCTTTCTTCATCTTGCAAAACTGAAACTCTGTACTCTGAAACAACTCCTCGTTCTCCTCCTCCGGCGCCCCAGGCAGCCATCGTTCTGCTTTTGCTTTCTCTAGAATTTGACTGCTACTCTAGTGACCTCATATAGGTGGAATCATGTAATGGTCATCTTTTTGTGACTGGCTTATTTCACTTATAATGTCCTCAAGGATCATCTATGTAGCAGCCTGTGTCAGAATTTTCTTCCTTTGTAACACTGAATATTATTTCTATGTGTGTATACATTGCATTTTGTTTATCCCACTGTCCATTGATGGATGATGCTAGGGTTGCTTCCTCCTTTTGGCTATTGTGAATGCCGCTGCTATGGACGTGGGTGCCCAAGTATCTCTGAGCATTGCCTTCTTTTGAAATGTGGTTTCTTGCCCTTAGAGACAAGGTGGTGGAGTAGAAGGACTTGAGCTCACCTCCTCTCACGAATATACCAAAAATCACAACTAACTTCTGAGCAACCATTGACTAAATAGACTGGAACCTGCTGATAAAGATATTCTACGTCCAGAGACATAGAAGAAGCCACAGTGAAACAATAGGAGGGGTGCTTTTGCAATATAATCAAATCCCATACCCACCAGGTAGGTGACCCACAAACTAGAAAACAATTTTATCACACAGGTTCTCCCACAGGAGTGAGAGTTCTGAGCCCCGCATCAGGCTCTTCAGCCCGAGGGTCTGGCATTGGAGGAGGAGCCCCAGAGCATTTAACTTTGAAGGCCTGCAGGGCTTGAGTGCAGCAGCTGCACAGGACTGGGGGAAACAGAGACTCCACTCTTGGAGGGCACACACAAGGTTCGTGTGCACTGGGACCTAGAGACTCCACAGGACCCTGGGCCAGACATACCTGCAGGCCTTGGAGGGTCTTCTGGGGAGGTGGGGGTCAGTTGTGGCTCACTGTGGGGGCAAGGACATTGGTAGTGGAGGCCCCAGAGAATATTCATTGGTGTGAGCTCTTCCAGAGGTTGCCATCTTGGCATTCAGACTGGTCTCACCCAACAGTCTGCAGCCTCCAGCGCTGGAATGCCTCAGACCAGACAGCCAACAGGTGGGAACACAGCCCCACCCATCAGCAGAACAGCTGCCTAAAGTTGTCCTGAGTGCACAGCCGCCTCTAAACATACCCCATGACACAGCTCTGCCCACCACTGGGGTGAGAGCCAGCTCCACCCACCAGTGGGCAGGCACCAGTCTCTGCCAGCAGAAAGTCTGCACAAACCCCGGACCAACCTCACCCACCAGGGGACAGACCCTAGAAGCAAGAGGGACCACACATCTGCAGCCTGATAGATAGAGACCACAAACACGGAAAGTTAGACAAGATGGGACAGCAGAGAAATATGTTCCAGACGAGGGAACAAGATAAACTCCCAACAACTAAGTGAAGTGGAGATAGGCAATCTGCCTGAAAAAGACTTCAGAGGAATAATGGTAAAGATGATGGAGAAGATACAAGGAATATTTAACAAAGAACTGGAAGACTTAATGAACATAGAGAGATGAACAATACAATAATTGAAGTAAACGTAACAAAAAAGAAGAAGATTCACAGATACAGAGGACGAATTGGTCATAACCCCTGGGGAAAGGGAAGGAGTGAGGGGGCAATATAGAGGTAGGAGAGTAAGAGGTACAAACTATGAGGTGTCAAACAAGCTACAAAGTTGTGTGAAAATTGTATAAATATTAATTATGTTGAATTGGTTCATGATGCTTTTCAGGTATACTATATCCTTCACTTTTCTGTATATTCATTCTATTAATATTTTTGAGAGTTTGATACTGAAACTCCAACTAAAAATATTAATTTATCTACTTAAAAAATAATTGTAATATATAGTGGAACTATATGTAACTTTGTTTTGTATTTTCCAAGTCTGTAAATGTGTTATCATACTTTCATAATTTAAAAAAATAAAAAAAAGAAAGAGAAAAAAATAAAATAAGCTACAAGGATATATTGTATAGCCAATATTTTACAACAACTGTAAATGAGCATAATCTTTAAATATTGTTAATTACTATATTGTACACCTGTAATTTACATAAAATCGTATATCACATATACTTCAATTTTTCTGAAAAAAACCTCTTAAAAATCTCTTTATAAAAAGCAGGTGGGAGCTGGTATTTAAAGTCAGGGAGTCTGTCTACAGAGCTCCTGTTCTTATGATTAAGTTCTCCATTTTCTCAAAATCTGTATCTCCTACCTGGTTCTCTCTCTGAATCGCTGTTGTTTAAGCCACTCAATCTATGGTATTTTGTTACAGCAGCCAGAGCTTACTAATACACATGGGTATGTCCAGGTGGCTTATTTACAACTTGGGGTGTATTCCTAGTAGTTGAGCATCAGTTCTGATTGTTTGGCTTCCATGCTCTTCGAGGTATAAAATATTTTGAGTATTACCCCTGCATGTAATTATAGGCTAACTCCCCTTACTCACACCACCCCTGTGACAGTGATCTCTTTTGAGAGCAAGAACTGTGTCTTACTCATCTATGTTTCCCAAGGCCCCAGTAAATGTTTACTGAATGACTGAATCCATCTTATTTTTCCTCCACAAACAAAAAGATCATTCTTTGAAGGATATAAAGCCCTGGGTATCCCTTTGTGATTTAATATCCCTGTCCTCATCCTTGCCTTGATTATCTGGGTGTGTTTCTTGGGATGATTCTGGGTAGGGCTCGCCCTGGGCAGAGGGTCCTTCCCCACCTTGAAAAAATGACCTGAGGAGCTGAAAAGTCAGAGAATCTGGATGAAGGAAACTCAGATGTTAGCACGCATGCAGGTGCCTGCACTGTGTGCATTGTAATCAACTTCTGTGTAACAGTGAGAGATCTAGAATCTTTAGAAGCTAGTGAAAGTGTGAAAGTGTTAGATGCTCAGCCGTGTCTGACTCTTTGCAACCCTATGGACTGTATATCCCACCACGCTCCTCTGTCCATGGAGTTCTTCAGGCAAGAATACTGGAGTGGGTTGCCATTTCCTTCTCCAGAGGATCTTCCCAACCCAGGGATTGAACCCTTGTCTCTTATGTGTCCTGCATTGGCAGCTGAGTTCTTTACCACTAGCGCCACCTGGGAAGCCCATAGAAGGTAGAAAAACATTTAAATATCAAAGAAAACTTTATTCTTCTAGAGAAGTGGGGTAGAGTAATAGAAGGAATACAGACTCTAGCATCAGAAAATCTGAGTTTGGGTCCAGGCTCCACTACTTAGAAGTGTAAGTTAGTTATTACTTACTAGCTATAATGAATTGTTTACATGAGTGTCCACTTGTCGTGTTGTGTGTTCTGTGGGTTTTGACAATGTGGAATGACTTGTGTTGACCAACACAGTATCATATAGAATAATTTCTCTGCCCTAAAAACCACTGATTCTCCACCTGTTCATCCCCGTCTCTCCTGCAAACCCCTGACAATCTCTGACCTTTGTGAATAAACTTTAAAAAGATTTATTTATTTATTTTTGGCTGTACTGGGTCTTCATTGCCGTGTGAGGGCTTTTTCTGTTTACAGCAAATGGGGGCTACTTTCCAGCTGAGGTGCAAGGGCGTCTCACTGTGACGGCTTCTCCTGTTGCAGGGCACGGGCTCCGGGGCGAGGGCTCACTGGTTGTGGTGCCGGGGCTTAGGTGCTCCGAGGCATGTGGGATCTTCCTGAATCAGGGATCAAACCCATGTCCTCTGCATTGGCAGGCAGATTCTTAACCACTGGACCACCAGCAAAGTCCCATGCATACACTTTTAAGTATACAATGTCTCTGCCAACTAGCAAATGCATTGTTTTGGATGCTGGAAATCTGACTTTTTGCTTTTAATCCTCCCACCCTGGGTAAGATTGCACAGTAAGGTCAGGAGAGTTTGTTCTTGTCTCAGGGCCAGTCATTGCTTTGCCTGCTCATTATAAGACTATAGTAGACTGACAATGTTGACCCTGCAGGGTTGTGTTAAGGATTACATATGTGAGAACTAAAAACCTCTCCAGATGTTAACCATCACTGCCGTCTCTAATTTTGATTTGGGGTAACTCCATCAGAGAGAAGTTAGTATTTATTTTAATATGCAAAAGGGTTTGCTAAGCAAATGTAGGGACTGCAGGGGAATGTTCAACTCAGAGAATGAGCTTTTGAAAAACAATTAGCAGCTGCCGTTTGTGAATTAATGTGCCACCCAACTGGGCTATTCCCCCAGGTTTAGTCCTTACCTCCTGTTCTCCGCCTGCTCTGTCATCAGCAAATGCATTTATCTTTCATGGCTTCTCCCATTTCTTGTTGGATAAGTTCCAAATCGGTCTGTAATACTATCCTGTCACCTGAGTCCTGGTGAGAATCTTTGACTGTTTCCTGGAGAGTTCCACTCAATGTCCCAACTTCACATCAAATTGAGAAAGGTAAGCTCCTTTGAGTTAGAGGAATAGAAACACTGGTGTGTTTCTGATGGGAATGTAGAATGTTGCAGCTACTGTGGCAAAGAGTGTGACAGTTCCTCAAAGAATTAAAAATAGAGTTACCATATGATCCAGCAGTTCCACATCTGGGCATACATCCACAATAGCTGAAAGAGGGTCTTGAAGAAATATTTGCACAACCATATGCATTGCAGGGTTATTCACAATAGTCAAAAGGTGGAAGCAGCCCAAATGTCCATTGGCTGATGAAGGATAAATAAATTGTGGTGTATGCATACAACAGAATATCATTCAGTGTTATGAAGAAAAGAAGGGACTTCCCTGGCAGTCCAGTGGTTAAGACTCTGCTCCACTGCAGGGGGTGAGGTCTCACTCCCTGGTTGGGGAACTAAGATCCCACATGTTACATGTGTGGCACTGCCTTGCCACCACCGCCCCCCCCCCAAAAAAAACAAACCCAAACCAAAACCCAACCAGCCAATCAAAACCCTGGCTTCTGATCTCAGCAGCTCAAAAGAGACACACCCTAGCTTAGGGAGAGGGGTGGGGTGGAGTGCTTACCTGCGATCTGGTGTTGCACTGCTGAGTTTTAATCCCAGCTCCATGGAAGCTTGGCCAAGTTCCTTAAATTTCTCTATGTCTGTTTCCTTGTCTGTAAAGTATATATAATATACATATTTTACAAAGTTGTTGTATTAAATGAGTTAATCCACATATTCACATACAGGGTTTAAGAAGAATGGTTGGTATGTAGTAGGTGTTCACTAAATGTCAGCTATGTGGCCCCTCTCCTCCTGGAAGCACCTGCCTTCTCTTCTCCACCTGTCTGAATTGTCCACATCTTATAAGTCCCAGATGGAAATTTCTCTTCTTATTAAAACCTTTTCTGACTATCCTCTTCTCAAAACAGTCGTAGTATTTGACTGTAGCACTCATTTAATACTAATTTGTATTGTATATTACAAATAGCTAAGCTACATGTATATAACCAAAGTGCTTTTGAAAGCCATTGGAAAGAGGTATGAAATGATTAAAATAGTGTGAGATCTATGAGGAGTTGGAGATGGGGGAAATGACCACTTATGTTCTACAGGGTGAGTGCTGGGTTCCCCTGAAAGCAGAGCCTGCCCGAAGGACTTGAATGCAGCCTGTTTATTTGGGAAGTGATTTCACAGAGTAGGAGTGAGGGAGTGAGGAGAATGAAGGAGGAAAATCTGATTTAAGAGCATTGTGATGATCAGTTTTATTAATCAACTTGGCTAGGCTATTGTGCCTAATCGCTTGTTCAAACACCAGTCTAGATGTTGCTGTAAAAGTATTCTTTAGATGTGATTAACATTTAAATCAGTAAGGCAGATTACCCTCCATCATGAAGTTTTCCAAAGCAGGAGCAACTCTGCCTCCAGAATGCAACACAGAACTCCTGGCTGGGTTTCAGTCTGTGAATTTCAGTCTCAAGACTGCAACATCAGCTCTTATCTCAATCTTTAGCCTGCTGGCTTGCTCTACAGATTTTGGACTTGCCAGCCCCTACAACTGCAGGAGCCAATTCCTTAAATGAAACCTCCCTTTGTATCTATTCTGTTGGTTCTGTTTCTCTAGGGAACCCTGACTAATACAGGCATGCCGTTGAAGTCACTGCTATAGGCAACTTTGGCTCATCATCAGAAAGCCTCTCACATTTGTCTGCTGAGAATTTACCCCAGAAGTATTGACGTTTATCCCTGGGTTCAGCCCCCAGTGGTTGAGGCTGCACCTGGGACTGTTACCTCCTTGGCATTTCTGAGCTGTCGTGTGAGTTTGATGAGAAGGTTCCTGTTGGTGTTTATTGGCATCAGAGAAGCTCTGGGGACCAATGCTATGGGCTGTAGCAGAGCCCTCACGGAACCATCCAGCACAGCCTTCCCCACAAAGTGGTGGCGATGGCTACTAGCCATTCCAAACTTACAGTTTTCAGTGAGAGAAACTCATTGGGAATAGATTGTTGACTTTCTGGTAATTTGGCCCTGACTCCCAGAACTGCCTCTCCTTGCCTGTGTTTGGGTATGCCCACCCTGAATAATTCCTTTGGCCAGGGAATTAAAATTGTCTGATTAGACAGGTGTAGATCAGATGTCTCCCTGGATCCAAGGACTGAAGGCTAGGGCAAGCAATTTCCCAAGGAGGTGATGAGCAGGCAAAAACCATGTCTTTTCTTTTATATATATATATAAAATTTTATATATTTATTTTTTATTTTTGGTTGTGCTGGGTCTTTGTTAGTCCATCCCTCCTGACCTACTCAT